TATATATATATATATATATATATACAGGGAGAGATAGTTCCTTTCTTTTCTCTCCCCATCTTCTCTTCATTCTCCTCAACTTGCATCCACCCACTCCTCCCTTTTCAAAAGAACAAAAAAGAAAGAAAGAAACTGAAAAAAAAAAAGAAAAAAGGAGGAGTAACTGTGTTTGTGTGAGTGTATTGAAGAATGATGGGGAAAAAGAGATAAAGAGATACCATTATTATGAAACAGAAAAATGTGCTTTTAAACCTTCAATACGCTTCTCAAGACGTAGGACGAGATCTCGTGCTAATATCAAGTCATCATCAACATTTGTCCCATTATCTTTAGATTGTTTTTCTTTTTCTTGTTGATCGTATCCTCGTGTATTTGTGGAGATATCCGCGGAACTTATCGTTGTAGCATCACTAAGCAATTCCAATAATTTCGCCACTGTATTATTCATGGCATCCAACTCTGTACTAGGCGATGTGGAATTCGACAACACTGTTGCTGTTGTTGAAGCTATTCCCTTCTCTTTTTCTTTCTCTCTTGGGTTCTGCACATCTGGTGTGGGGTTTACATCTACAGATCCATTAGAGGAGGGCCGCAGTGTGGACTCTTCACCCACCGCACGTGATGGGGATGAGGAGGTGAGTGGCTGCGGCGCCACACCAAAGCGACGACGAGAAGGAGAAGGAAGAGGAGTCGTCGTAATTGTATAATGACGACGATGTTGAGAAAGATAACTACTACGGGAATTATTTTGGCCACTAGCAATACTATCATTATCATTATTATTGTGGGAATAATAAGGATGACTAGGTTGATTGGAATGAGGTTTGGTCTTTCTACCATTACTTGTGGTAGTAGTAGTAGTAGTAGTGGTCGTACGAGAGCCGCTCACACTTCTACTACTCGTCCCACTACTACTATTATAACTACGACTACGACTATTATCTTTATTAGAGTGATGATGTGCCAGACGTCGTCTAACATTTATATGCGGAGATAAAATATCTGGACTCTGTTCACGTGGTGCGGCTTTATGTTCTTCCACAGAAAACATATTTTTCATCCCACGTTTAGGATGACGAGATCTTCCAGTTTTCAAGAAGGGAGAAGAACGTGAGGTCTCCGATGCGGCGGTGGAGTCTCCCGCTGGAGTATAAACACCACGTCGAGGAGATATACTACATCGCTGCCAGTGTAAATGTTTTTCTTTCTTTTCTTTTTTCTTTTCCTTTTGTTCTTCTTCTTTTTCTTTTTCCTGTTCTCCCCGTTGCTCAAGTTCTTGCTGTTCCACACTCTTTAGTAATTCCGATTCAAAACTAGATAATCTATTCCGAAAGTCAATACTAGCACCCATAAAAGCCACAGAACGATTCATTAATGCATATGTCGCTGGTGTCATGGAAAAGGGATCACGTACACTGGGATCAATATAATTATCCATTGGTGTTAATATACTTTGAATCTTTTCATCTTTTGGTGTGGAAGTGACTTCTAATTTCTTTGTCACTGCTGTGGATGGAGTTAAGGTGGTTTGACCATTATCCGAGTGTAATAAGGAGGATTCTGCAGATGAGGAGGAGGCAAAAAAGGCATCTTCCTCATCTACACGGGCATAACTTTGTGTTTGACTTCTCGATTTTGTACGTGAACGTTGCCGTGGGGATGGACCATCCATACTATCCGCTAAACACATCTCTTCCTTCTTTACATTTTTTAGTTTATCATTTATTTCATTATCTGGTTTACATGTGGATCCATTACTCTCATTGTTCTCACCATTCTCATTATTATTATTGTTATTATGATCTTCTTCTTCCTCTTCCCCTTTACCTTGCTCTGTCTGTTCTTTCTCTTTATTATCATTATCATCATCTTCATCTTTTTCTCCTTCACCCTCATCACCGGAAGAGGCAAAGAATTCCGATTCTCGTTGATGTAATAATCGTCGTCGTGCGTATGATTTCCGTCGTTCCGCCTCTTCTGGTTCTTGAAAAGCTACAAAATTATTTAATTCATGTAATAATTGTAATCGTCGCAGTACACGCAGAGCCGATTTCGTATCCTCATCCGTATCTTCATTAAAAAGACTTAAATGTAATAATTCCGCCGCCGTTGGTCGTCGTGAGGGATCTGGATTTAAACAAAGTGAGACAAATTCAATAATTCCTGGTGGTCCATCAAATAAAGGAGAGAGATCAGGCGTATCATGTAAAGAAGTAATATATCGAGTTAACCCCATTGCCCCTTTTACATTCTGTAGATGAGAAAAGGGTGGACGATTTGTAGCCATCTCAAGCGCAATACAACCCACAGACCAAATATCACTAGGGAAACTATACCCAATCGTAACTCCATTCTCATCCACATCACTGGCGCCCATACATTCAGGAGACATGTAAAGAATACTTCCTTGCATTTGATATAAAAGTTCACCATCTGCCACTGTACGGGCAGTTCCAAAATCACCAATCTTTCCAGTTCCCTCTGCACTTAATAATACATTAGCCGTTTTTAAATCTCCATGTACATAACGCATGGAATGAATATATGCTACTCCTTCTACAATATCACGTAATAAGGATTGATACTCTTTAAATCCTAATTTACCTTTCTTTTGAAGAAGTTGTTGTAATGTTCCCCCAGAGGCATATTCCATAAATACACGAATCACATTTTCTTGTTTATTTTCTTCACAATAGAAATAATGGATAATATTAGGATGTTGTAAATTACACATGGTAGATATTTCATTTACAAATTGTTCAATTTGTGTATTTCGTTTACCTAACCACATCTCCTTTACCGCCATCTTTCCTCCTGTTAATACCTCTGTAGCTTCATAAACAGCCCCAAATGAACCTTTTCCCAATAACTTTCCACGTTTCCAAGCTCCTCTACTATTCTTTGAAAGTGTTGCACGTGTTTGCTCAATACGTTCTGCCTCTACTTTATATTGTGAAATCATTTTCTCCGCTTTTCGAATACATTGTAAGGCTTGAATAGATGTACAAGGTTTTTTAAGTGTGAGAAAACCAGCGGTGTGATAGGCTTTACATGTATCTTCATCCATTTCAGAACCTGTTATCACTACCGCCATTCGTCGTGCCTTTTCACGTAATAACGCAATAGGATCAAGAGGAGTTCCTTTATGATTCTTTTTCTTATTATTCGAATTATTTACATAATCTATAGTAGTAGTAGTAGTAGTATTTATTTTGCTATTCTCAAAAATGGATTGATGTGGATCGATAAAGAGAATATCTGCTACATCAATCAATTGTTCAATATCTTCAATATTATATGCGGGTAATACGGCATGTTTACGATCCCACAAAAAACTACAAAGCATATTTCTATGCGCCGCAGTATCTTCCACAACTAAAGTTGTAAAGGTTTGTTTCCCTAATGGTGCCCGCACATCACTACTACTGTTATTATTATTAGTATTATTAATATTACCCTGAGTCATTGTAATACTAATATTACTATTACTACCAGTTACAGGACTTGTCATTCCACTAAAACTTCTCGATATATCAAAGGGATCAAAGCGAGAATCCATACAATTCTCTGGTTCCTCACGTGCGGGAACAAATGGGACGGTAAAGGTTACATTGGTATCACCTGGAATAGATTCTATAGATAAACCACCACCTTGTTTTTCCATAGCTCCACGTACTCGATGAAGATGTGGATATTTCTCTGAATGACATCTTTGATTAAAGTCATTTAAAAGATCTGGTGGAAATCCAGGTCCATTATCATGAAATACAATCACAAGAAATTCTAATCCATTCGAATCTGTAATCGTTACAGTAATTGTTACTTGAGTATCACTAAGGTAAAGTGTACAATTACTCATTGCATATCGTAAACAATCTGGAAGTGATTTCGCATTTACATACGCATTCTCTGCATAAAGTCCATCAAACCGTTGACAAACCGATATCCCATTCGCTACACATTGAGCTCCGTAATCCATAATAACTTGTCCAATCATTTGACGAATATTAACAACACGTACATCTTCTGTAGAGGCATTAATAGCTCGACAGGTAGAATCAAAACTTGTTAATACAGAAGCAATACGATGTAATCGATCTTCATAAGTACTATCACCATCACGTAAGATTCCACTTACTTGATCGACTAGAAATTGAGATTTATCCATTACTTCTTGTGGAAAAATTCGTTGTTCTTCACCAACTGCTAACATAATCTCAGCAGCATCATGACCATGAGAAACAATAGAAGGTAGAATAGAAAGTTTAAGATGTACCTTTGTTAAACCATCAATACGTGCAAAGGTATAAATTATACTTCTTCCAGTACCTTTTTCTTCAAAAAAGGCTTCAACATCACCTGTATATCGTCTAGCTTCTGAAATAGCAGAATGCATAGCTTTTTGATCTTTAGGTTCTAAAAGAAAAGAATATATATGTTGACCAACAGCTTCCTCCATAGTGTATCCTGTTAGTTGTACCATCATTTCATTCCATACAATGATAGATCCATCCTCACGTAATCCAATCATGGCTAAGAAATTAGCATGTAATGGGACTAATGGAAAACGAAAGAGTACATGCGTGGAAGTTGGGGTAATACCAGGTGTATTAGGAGTTAAATTACTATCCTTTACAGTGACAGCTGTACTTGGTTCAGCCGCCGCATTTCCATTTTTTTCCATCACCATTACTTTTTCTTTAGGAGCGGGAAGAATAATTTCCCCAACAACATCAACTTGATCAAGTAATGTATTTTCTTGTTCTGCTTTTGTAGCCATACGTTTGGTACGTTTCCCTAATAAATCCAACTCTGTCCTAATACGATCATTAGCTTCACCTAAATAATGGGAGTGAATACCACTATTTAACACATACTCCTTTAAATGATCTTGAATAGATCCAACAATTAACTCCAAATGTGTACGTTGAATTTGAGCAATCGTAACTCGTCTGGAGGCGGCGATCACATCTGCTACTGCGAGATGATTAAAGAGGAATTCCAATTCCCCTACAACATTACCTTCTCGAAGACGTAGAATCTCATACTTTTTACCATTTCGTCTACCTAAAACTTTTACTTCACCCTCCACGATAATATGCAACAATTTACTATTTTCACCATATCGCATAATATAATCATGTTTACGGTATGTTTTGGTTACAAGGGCTTCCGCAATTAACATACGATCATAATCGGAAAGCGTTTTTAAAAAACCAACATTACCTAATAATTCTTCATATTTCTTTCGTTTATGTAAAGATACGGCAAGAACAATATGTTGATATGTACGCTGATCTAATGTATAAAGAATACAGTTTGTTACACATCTAATAGTCGCTGCACACATAATTTGATGATATATCATTTCCATTTCTCCAAATGTACTTCCAACATGTAAAGTATGTACAACTCTACCATTTTTAATGACTTCACATGTTCCTTGACTAATAAGAAATAATTTCTCTAGTGAAGGACAACCTTGTTTTAAAATATCTGTTCCTGCAGCATAAGTTTCACGTTGTAAGGCACGAACAATAATAGCCCTATCTCTACTTTCCATATTGCTGAAAAGATGACAAGCCATAACTCCTGCTCGAACCACTTGTTCTTCTTCAGGCGTTTTTTCTACTACAGGTGGAGTATATGTTTCTATAACATTAATTGGTACAGACTCTGCTGAAATAGCGGCACGTCTTCTGTAAATAAGCGTTGGATTTTGTCTAGCACATCCCATAGATGTTGCTAATGGGGTGACGAGTTCATTTGTCTCTGGTGTTCGTGTGGGGGCTAACAATGGTAAAACGGCTGTTGGATTTAATTCAGGAATACTGGACCCAAGTATTTCTTCCACTTTACCCTCTTCTCCTCCTTCTTCTCCTTCTCCTCCTAATAATGTATCATCTCCAATATGAGATAATGGATTATCCGTTCTACTACAACTATGGACTTCATATCTATCTTCAGGTGGAAAAAAAGAACAAGTCACATCACATGTATTGTCATTGGATGTCATCGTATTTGTAAAAGAAGTAGCATTATAACGGAATGGAATTTCATTTATAAGAGGATTTGGTCCACCGTTAATTGAGAGAACTACATTCGCAGATGACATGGGAGAAATCGTAATATCCACATCCTGCTGACTCTCATCTCCAGGATTAATAGTTGTCGTATTAGTAGTAGTAGTAGTAGTAGTAGTAGTAGTAGTAGTAGCTCCAGTGCTTATCACAGATCTACGCTGTTCCCCTTGTGGGTGATTTGTTTCCAGTAAATTAATAACAGTTTCGAGTGTACTCTCCCTATCCATACCCTCAATAAGATGTGCGATACGTGTTCGCATGTCTTCTACTCTTATCGATGCCTCTGCGGGAATGGTGTCAAATTCCAGCAAGGTCACTTCTGATGACTCACATGACACCGGAGGCTGATCCTCCTCGTTATTCTCCATCGGCCTAAAATAACAGTAATAACAGTAATAATAATAGTAATATTGATAATAAATGATGAACCAATCAAATAAGAAGAAGAACCCCAATAAGGAAGGAAGGAAGGAAGGAAGAGAGAAAAAAGTATCTATCAGAGATAAAGGCAAATAACCAAGGTGCCTTTATTATATCTGTGTAACTTGTATTTGATTTTTTTTTTTTTCTCCACCTCGCCTTGGTAGTGGTGGGCGGTTGAAAATGGGATAATATGTAGGGATGTGTAGGGAACGTTGTAGGTATGTATAAAATATTATACCTGTCCTTCTATTCCTCTTGTTTTTTTTTTCTTTTTAATGTTACTTTGCACTTGTATACACAAACCCTAGAGTTTTACTTTATATTTCAATAATAAAACCCTAACTAATTCCCACCTATTCACGTATTTGCAGCTTTCTCTTTCTCTCAACGAGTATATATATATATATACGTGTAAGTATATAAATGAGAATATCCTTTTTTTTTTTGTTCTTTTTGCTTCCTACCCTTTTTGCTTTTCCCAGAGTACAGGAAATAGAAACACTCAGACACACACACACAAAAAAAAAAGAAAAATCCACAAGAAAAGATCCTCCCTTACTGAGTCACTACGGGTATTTGCACCCTTGTCTCTTCTTCTATTAATAATGTGTATATGAGACAATACGAAGATTTTTAAAGACCAAAAAAAAGGGGAGAGAGAGAGAAAAAAAGGAAAAAAAAAAGAACAAAAAATAAACAAAGTCATAAAGGATAAATATCACCTAACATAAAGGCAATAAAAAGGCAAATAACCTTCTTCGTACCTCTGTAATCACCACGTGTATGTGGTACAGAGAAAGATATATGAGAACATTGGTAAATGAAAAAAAACAAAAATGAAACAAGCCATACTGCAATAAGCTTCTCCTTTCCTCCTCATCCCTTCCATCCACCTTTCGCAGAGCTCATTTGTGGCAGGTCACACAGAGGAGAACGCCACTGGTAAGAATATATAAATATATATATATAGACTTCCCTTTTGGCGCTTAGTCAAAGAGACCGAAGCCCATATCGTCATCTTCCTCTTCCTCCACCTTCTCCTCCTTCTTGGCAGCGGGGGCCGCCGCACCACCGGCAGCCGCAGGGGCCGCCGCACCGCCAGCAGCGGGAGCAGACGCGGCCGCGACCGCCGTCATCTTCGCTGCGCCCTCCGCCACGAGTTCCTGCACGCTGCGGCCGGCCACGGACTCCATCACGAATGCGAGGGCCTCCGCCTCAACGGCAACACCGCAGGCCTTGCAGATGGCCTCCACATCAGCGGCGCTTGGCGTGGGGTTGTTCAGTGACGCCAGAGCGTAAGCAGCAAGGTACTTCATGGACATGGCTGGATAGCGTGGAAAGACTTCTGGCTTCTGTAAGGAAAACAGGTATAAAAGTAAAAAATAAAAAAGAGAGAAGAAAGAAAATAACAATGATATCCAGGGAGTAAAGAGAGTAAAAAAGAAAAAAAAAAAAACAAGTAAAGACACAAAGAAGTAAACAGAGATATAGAGATATAGAGGAGCTCTACACCTACAGAACCCCTCTGCCCAACATGATTAAGGCAATTTTTTTTTTTTCGTTTGAATGAATAAATCCTTCTTGTTCTTTTTTTTTTCTTTTCCTTTTTTTTAAAAAAAATGAAGGAACCTGTGAAAACAAATTCCTTTCCTCATTTAGCTTGAATTGAATTTCGACTTCTCTCTTCTTAGTCAAAGAGACCGAAGCCCATATCGTCATCTTCCTCTTCCTCCACCTTCTCCTCCTTCTTGGCAGCGGGGGCCGCAGCACCACCGGCAGCCGCAGGGGCCGCCGCACCGCCAGCAGCGGGAGCAGACGCGGCCGCGACCGCCGTCATCTTCGCTGCGCCCTCCGCCACGAGTTCCTGCACGCTGCGGCCGGCCACGGACTCCATCACGAATGCGAGGGCCTCCGCCTCAACGGCAACACCGCAGGCCTTGCAGATGGCCTCCACATCAGCGGCGCTTGGCGTGGGGTTGTTCAGTGACGCCAGAGCGTAAGCAGCAAGGTACTTCATGGACATCCTTTTCTTTTTTTTTTCTTCTCTCTTCCTTTTTTTCTCTCAGTCTTTGTGAGTTTGGCTCAAATAGACTTTATCAAGGCACATATGTGGAGGTGGTATTTTGTTAAGAATAAAGAAGGGGGAGAAAAAAAAAGGAAACAAAGAAAAAAGTACAACATAAGGCACAGCGTACAGGAAAGGTAATTCAGGAAAGGATATATTCATTTCCTCTCTTTTTTCTTTTTCTTTATTTTTTTTTTTTTTTGGCTTTCTGGACTAGGAAGAAAAATGGGGCCCCAATGGAGGCAAGCAAAGAAACCAGACGCAAAAAAAAAGAGACGCAATAAGAAACTTAAATGAGATGAATACTTTCTCAATATTTCTTCACATCTTTCCATCATTTTCTTCCTTTTTTAAATTCGTCTTTCAATCACTTTTCTTCTTTCTTTTTTTTTTCCCATTTCCCTTTCTCCCTCCCCACCTACCTAGCTACCGAAGTGAATCAGGAGGTGGAACGAGAAAGTACTCAATGAGACTCATCGCGTCTTCCTTTTCCTGCTGCAGCTGTTGCCGTAGTGTTTGAGAGGCCACACCACCTTGGGTATTAGTTGTTGGCTCCTTGTAATTCCCAACAGCACTTCCTGATGCTCCATACATTAAGACACTTGGGCGTACAAGCATAACATCACTAAATAGTTTTGCCAAAAGTTTACTTGTTAACTCATTACTTCGTGCGTTTACAGGTCTCAACAAAAAGTTTAACAAGGCACAAACGTAAATCCATACATTAGCATGTTGTGGTGGGAGTTGTTGTTGTACAAATACCAGTGGGGCTTTACCCTTTGCTTTTCCTGCTGCCAAAGCTGCCCCATATAATGAAAAAGGTACGACAGGTTCTTGTAAAGATTGAAGAAAAGTGATAAGACAAGTAGCAACACAGTGCACATCGTAATCTACTGGAATGGGTTCACAACGGGTGTCTAAGTGATGCATAATAGCATCACATGTTTCATTAGAGGTATCTTCTGTAAAGAGATTTGGTTGACGAGCCCCACGCTCATAAATAGCTTCACACAAGAACCATAATTCCTTTGGAAGTTGTGGACGTATGGCTTTACGTAATTTCTCAGGAACTTCATTAAGGGCATAAGCAGAAACGCACACTTCATTTTGTAGCATGGAAATATTTTCAAGTGAGTTACCAAACACACTTGGTTTAAGAATACATGTACATTCTACCAAATGAACAGGTCCATGATTTACAAAGATAACGAGCATAGAGGAAAGACTTAATCGACCACGTCCTTCAAATGGACGCCATAGACTCATCCACCGCATACAACGTGGATGTAATTGACACTCCACAATTACCTCCTTCACTTCATTAGGGAGAATAGAAAAACTAGCAGGATATACACGCAACCACGCCCCCTCACTCAAATCATTATTGCGTTGACGGAATATTTTTACGACTGCCACACATTCACCAGTGTTAGTGATATGCAGTACATGCCGGGCTCCACAGTCGTAAAACTGCTGCGCACCAAAATCAAGAGAAACAGGATCAACTGTGGTCTTTGCACTAGAACTTCGATCAAGACCTACCTGTGCTACTCGTTCACGCAGAGATCGCCTGACGGCATTCTTTTTATCCTCCACTTCACAAAGAATAGGAACAGAGAGTAAAGCTTGTACCGGTTTATGATCACTACTATAGACATCCATTAAAGCACGTAATGAATCCACTCGAATTAATTTCTGATGAGCTTTACGTCTTGTCCATATAACTATACGATCTGTATAACTAGGTACACGTTGTTTTTCACTCGTATCATATATATTGGTTCCAATATCATACCTATAAGTTGGTGGAAATGTGGGTTTAACATCTACAAATCCTAACCATGGAGAATGTGGATTAGCTAACTCTACTGTAAATTCATCATGTTCTAATAAACCTTCCACATCACACCGAAGTGCCATTTCAACAGCGGCATCATATGATAACTTCAACCTATAATTAAGATCTCCAGCAACGATGATAATATCATGGTCATGAGGAAGCATTTCAGGTTGTTGAAACATAATATCTTGAGCAGAAAATGAACCTTGTGCAGCCGCCGCCGCATACAATTGTCGTTTCTGTGCATTAAAATCCATTCCCATAAAAATATTACTTGCATCTTCATTTCTTTTAACCACATTATTTGTTCCAGCAGCAAGATGAGCATTAATAAGACATAAACTTGTACGATGCAGCACAAGATGAAAACCAACAGCCCCTTTGTTTCCCATACTACCTAATGCGCCTGTTCCAACCGTCATAACAGATGTTTCCTGTGCATATGGAACAAGGGATCGCCGCAAATAAACACAAAGAAGAAGTCCAACTAATTGTTTGGGGGGAAAAGCATAATAAAGAGATGAACTCCCTTGGTTAGAGTCTGCACCTACTAAAGCCTGTAGAGCATTCACCCAAGGTGTAGCAGCTTCTGTTTCTTCCTTTAACATGGCTGTAGCACTCATATCAACTTCTTGAAGACTTACCATGATTAAATCAACAGGTTTATTATTTTCACCGGGCATCGTATGTGAAATGAGTGTGGATAAATTCGCAGGTGGTTTCTTACTGGCAACATTAAAAGTGACAAGACATACTGAGAGTTCCTGTTGTTCTGTATATAAGTTTTCATAATACTGCAGCTCCCGTTGTACCCACGACTCTTCAGATGATAACACATTACCATCCTGTCCAACCACACGACTCTTAATGAATGAAAAAACTTCTTCCATACGGTCGTGCTCCACATCAAAAGCAGGGGGAAGACCTGGAATCATGACTTCTAAAGGCAAAGAAAAAGAGGAAATAGACTACAGCACTCACTCTTCCACCCTTTGTCCCTAATAAACAAATATATATATATATATATATATATATGACTTTTCTTTCTTACTTATAATAATACCACTCACAGACGCAACAGCTGCCACAACTGCAGCTTCTAGAGAGCAAGGAAAATAAAAACAAATACAGAAAAAAAAAAATAAGATATTACAATAGAGTAGAAAAACACCATTCCACAGCGACAATACCCCCACCCCTAACAATCCCCATAAAGCAAATCACATAAAAAATACCTAATACAAAATAAACCACAAATACCTTCCTCAACGCCAAAGACACCAAACAACCCAAAACAAAAACACAATTACGAAAAAACTCACGGCTTCTTCAATATCACAATAAAGAAAAAAGAAAAAATTAAAGACTGGACATTCAAATAAAAAAAAA